TGTTTTTATGTGCCGTGTTTTTTAGTATACTAACCTAATTTTCTTTTCTTTTTGTTAAGCTGCTAAATTGATTTTGTTTTTATTTGGACACGGCCTGCTAGTGTCGTTTGTTGTTGGAAGGGTTGCGCCCGCTTTTCTTCATAAGGTTCAACAAACCAGGCGGAAGGGCTGCGCCCGTATAAAACAAAACAGGGGGGGGGGGGGGCGGTTTAAGAAACGGACCTTAACCGGAATACAAGAACAACATAATTCAGCCACTTTTAAGGCAAAAAATGCACAATTTACCAACACAGAAGAATAAAAATACTGAGGTTACCGTTTCTGTAACAGGGTGGAAATATATCTATACAATTTGGTGTAGCCGATTATAACTAAAAATGGAGATGCACAACTGCATGCTACAGCAGTCCCTTATACAAAATTCCAATGTTCTACGACTACTCGTTTTCAAGTTATGCGAGTGTATGTATGTAAGTACAGACGTCGCGAAAAAAGTCTCTTCTAAATCCATTTTGCAATTCCTTTTAGAAAAAATAATCTTTTATTATTTCCGTTAGTAGAGATGTCATGAAAAAAAAATATTCAAATAAATTTGCGTGAGGTCCAAATTTTTGGCGAAATATGATACAATAAATTTTTCACGATTACAGTACTTCCTTTACTTTGTACAAGGAAGTAAATAATCTGATAATAATTTCAACAAAAAATAGTTTCAAATATCATAAATTATAACTTTCAAGTTTTGTCTCTTAGATGAGGAAAAAAAATATTTTTTCAATATTCATAATTTTTAGTTCAGTGCATGTACACTCATTTAGTTAGTTTATGTATAGATTTATATAATCATAAGATTATATAAAAAAAGACCTAAAATCTAAAACTGAGATAAAATGGTTTAATGCTAATAAATATGTATTCAAAATCAATAAAAAACTACCTAAAATAAACCAACTTTATTAAGCAAACCTTCTCCTCACCGTCTTTGTGCTGATAAAATGTGATGGCAATTCTTTTTCTCATTCTGTTAGCACAAAGAGAATATAAAGTGTCAAATTTTTAATTTCATCTAATTTTAGATGTGTTATTTCCACTTCAAAAGCTATATTCTTGCAGCAGTTACCAGTCTTTACTTCCTTGTACGAAGTAAAAAGGAAGTACTGGCGCGAAACTTCAGGCTCATATTTCAACAAAATATCATTTGACACTATCGAATGAAATTTAACGATGTTTTTGCATGACGTCCGTCCGTACGTAAGGACAGAATAAAGGACTCTTCCCCCTCCTCAAAAAATATAAAACTGATTTAAAATGAATTCTGAAGAGGAAATTTTCATGGCGTCTGCGTTTTTATCTCGCATAATTAAAGAATAGAATGTTGTGTTATAACTAACCATCTTTGGTTGCCCCGCCGTTAAAACAAAAACAGGTACTGACACCGAGAATCGAACAAAAAAAAAAACAAAAAAAAAAAAAAAAAAAAAAAAAAACAAACAAAAAAAAAAAAAAAAAAAAAAAAAAAAAAAAAAAAAAAAAAAAAAAAAAAAAACATATAGGGGGGGTGGGGGTTGGATTGCATTAGCAAAAAAAATGAAGTCAACCATAAGTAAAACGGATGCAACAAATTTACCAAAGTCTGTATTATCAAAAAGATACAATAAATATTCAGCAAAAAAAGAACTTTCAGGAAAAAACAAAACATATTAAAAAACAAAAAAAACTATATATTAAATAATTATACCACATGCATGACCCTAAAACGACATTTAACCCACAATCCTAAACACAAAACTCCCACCCCTCAAACAAAAAAAACAAATTTAAAATGAACTGAAAAAAATGTTTTCCTAGAGGTTATGCAGCTTTCAGCTCAGGAATCTCAGTTTCTTTATTCTTATATGCCTGTAAATTAAAGATTTTTTGCTTTAAAAATGATTGAATTATGTTGTTCTTATCTTCCGGTTAAGCTTTTTATGCCTTTAGTAAATCTGCATGCGATATTTTTAGAAATATTTACAATTTAAAAGTTGTTTAAGTGCCACTAGGCCTAATTATTTTTGCAATGGCAGCAATGTTTGTTTACATTTGAAACAGCAGAATAGTATATTTGTTGCCAATGTAGAGAAAGTAAGCTTCACAAGTACAAATATAACGCCACCTTTTATTATTGTGAATTAAATCATGCCTAATTCATTCTGGAATTCATTCGAAGAAATAAGTGTTTAAGATTTACTTCAAAATTTTCAATACAGATATTTTGAGTTTTTAAGTATTTTTGCCTTGTCGCAAAGTGAAAACTGAATTAATTGAATGAAACACTGAATCGTTTGTAAAAAACTTTCTTTTTTTGTTGTTATTGGCTTAATTTCTTTTATACATTGTTTTAGATTTATTACAGTATTTGAATAGAATATGTGGCAACAATTAGATAATTCTTAAGATGATATACATTTTTGTGCATTCCGAGTTTAAAAATGAATGAAATGTAATGCTGTTAAGTGAACCTAGGGCAGAGTGTCGTTATAGAAACAAATATAGTGAATTTTAAAGAGTGCATTTATTCCGTTGTGGTTTATGCGCTATCAATGAAATAAATTTAATTCAATCCAGTAAGTTTAAATGAAATGCAAGAAAAAATGTGTATAATTTAATATTCCGTGCAAGGAAGTTATGTAATCAACATCGGATTTTTATTTTAATGTACAGTCAAAAGTCGTTAATCCGGACTCTTCGAGACTTCGGCGATTCCGGATTATCGATTTTCCGGATTATAGATCATCAGTTTAAATCTGGTAATATAGCATGCAGAAATTATAAAATTAAAAATATGTAACCGTAATTTATGAAATAAAGAACAATTATGATCTAAAGGGTATCAAAATTTACAAAAAGAAAAAGCTTAATATTTATTTGTTTACTTTATTAAACATTTCTTTCAATGTAGGTTGTTTAAGTTGCTTCGTTTCATGTGATAATACTTTCTCTTTAATTCTATCAAACAGACATAATTTCTTGTTTAGTTACAAAGTTCCGCTGTTCAAGTCCTATAATTGCTGAGTCGAGAATACCGACTAATTTGTCAATCAAAATTTTTTGTTTTCAATAACCTCTGCGTCACTTTCTTCACTATCGGAAGCGAATTATAATGACGGGGAACTTGATTTAAATCATATCAAAGACGGAGTACATCGAGATGAAATACTACATTTAGTACGGAATTATAAGCCAAATAAAATAAAAACATCTGCCCTGAAGATAAGGATAGTGCTGGCAGATCAACTTCCAATTCATTGCGCGCCGCGTCGTTTCCCTCCCCCCGGAGAGCAGCGTGAAATTGATAAACATATTTCGGAATGATTAGATCATCAAAGGATATGCCTTTATCCTTTTTTTTTTTTTTTTTTTTTGCAGCAATTCCACTTTCTGTTTAATGGACTTCGAAACATACTTTCGCTTTGTAGATTCTTTACATATTAGTAAATATATATCGAAAATTCTATTTGACATAATCGAAAGTTCAAGCTTACTTTTATAAAATTGCTCTAACAGTCTGCAAAAAATAATAAGCCGGATCCAATGCGAAGATTAAGGAACAACGCAATCTGAAACATTAACTGAATTAGATAATTTTAGCTTAGCTTATACCGTTCGTTATACATTAAACGCTCATGCATAAACGTATTATGCGCATGCGCACACGCATATTCGCAGCCGTAAAGGTCTTACGCGCACACGTAAACGCCTATGCGCATGCGTCAACGCTACGCATGCGCAGGAAGTTTGTAGCTTTGAGGTCCGGATTATAGATCATTCCGGATTTTGGGTGTCCGAATTAACGACTTTTGACTGTATTAATTAATTTTAATTGCATTTAACTATCTTAAAAGCTATAACAATTTTATTCATGAAAAAATTTACAATCTTTATTAAAATATTCAGAAACTTTAAAAAAATATTAATTTATTTAGATTTATTATGGTATTTGAATAGAATATGTGGCAATAATAATTTGTTACCAGCATTTTTTAAACAAAATTAATGAGACACAAAAGATTTTAAACAAAATATAATGAGAGTTTAAGCAAACATACATTTTATAGCATTCATGCTAGTGTTTTGCTTTCAATTATCAATATTTGTATTATGCACAACCAGATGCCAGTCAGTGTGTTGAAATCTGTTGTGCAATAATGAATAAGTACGGCTTCAAAATTTTCCTTTATTGATAGGATAGGATTAATATGGATTTTGAAGAAATTATTAAAAACAGTTTTTAAAAATATTCATTAAATCATTTAATTTGAAAAACGCAGATGGTCAGAAGAATAGAAGAAATCATAATGAAACAAAGTTTTTCTAAAATTTAGAAAATTGCAAATCCTTAACCTTGCAGGTATGACCTAAAATATTAAATAATTACATCATCATTATTATGTAAACCAAACTTTGCGTACATCACCGGCTCCGAAAGGTCAGACTGAAAGCAAATCCAAGTGTGTGCTTACTTTACGCCGATTATAATGTAGTTTTCTTTACATTAATCTTAAAAGTGTGATTCACTATTTAAAATAAATCTGAAAAGTCAACTTTTTGAAAAATGAAACCTCATTTTCTTTTAAGCATTTTATACAGCTAATTGTTTTAGTCTACATAAAAAATTAATTCACAAGTTTATTAACCCTCTGAGCATTATGACCGGATAAAGCCACTCGTCAGAAGTTTTGCTACTTGGCATATAGTATTGGTTTATAACTTAAGATATTTTGCTTTCTTACTTTCTTTAATAATGTCAATATCATCTTCATGAATGTAAGTTTATGAAAATACAGACTAAAATAAGTAATTATACAAATTCAATTAATAAATGCTTTTTAAATACTGGTCTTCATGACGGATCTAAAATTCTGTGCCACTCAAAGGGTTAGTACTTCATACTTACCTACTTCAATATGAATTAATATTAAAAGCCAGGTTTTTATTTTAGATCAACCATTCAAAATTAATTAAAACCAAAAATTTGAAAAATTTATTACTCAAACTTTACATTTTCATAAATCAATATAAAAGACAAAATGATAAAATGCAGCATTTTCTTTACCTACAAACTTACATATCAAGGAAAAAAAACTCATTTAATTTATTTTACAGTAAAAATTTCAAAATTTTATTAAATTCTCATGCATAAAAAATCTGCTGCTATATCTCTTTCCAAAGTCAATGTAGTAAAAAAAATTACAGTACACTGTTTAATTATTTAGACTTAGAGAATTGTTAAGATTTGCTATGTTTAAATATCTGAAAATCCATTATTTAAGGAAGTTGATTAAAATATCACAATATGTTTTTAAAGGGGTGTTATGACAAAAAATCACACTATTACAAAATAATTCAGGTATAAAACCTTTTCCAGGAATAACAGTTATATCTGGAATAAACAGAATAACAGAAATCATGGTCAAGTACAAAGACTATAACAGTTGTATTCGTTGCATGACAAATCTGTGTCATGGAATGTGAGAAGTTTTAGGATAAGGCTTTGAAAGACTCAAATTTCCTGTATAACTTTTGTCAGAGATATGTTTATGGTTCAAACCAGGTGAAATATCACTTGCTTCAACAGCACATTTTAGCTTCAATATGATTTCAATTACTAAAGAATGATGATAAAATTTTACACGTTTTATAATCATAAAATATTTTCTATTATGTTCTTTTATTAATCCTCATCTCAGCTCTGCCATCTCGATGTCCCATTCTTGTGTCATAGAAATATGGTCAACCACCTATAATGCCATATATCATATTAACTCTTTTTATCTTTTTAGTTCCCATGGATAGTTAAAATTAATGTTTTAATAGATTATGTATGAGAAAAAGTGAAACTATCATAATCAAACTTCTTAAACAGGAGAAAAACAATAATGGTTAACAAATGACACATTACATTATAATGTTATGCTTACATACTGTATAGTCCTGTTGATCATTATTGTCATTCCTTATTAAAAAAGACTGTTATTATTAGAAAAGCTAATTAAAATATAAAAAGCACCAAATTATACTATGATATCATCTCATCTCATAACTCCATTCAGACTTATTATCCTTGATATATTTTTAATACAAATGAAAAGAACTAAAAAATAAGCTATTTTAATGAAACTTCGTTTTTAAAGAACATTTCATACAGCTTCATCAATTATTAAACATAATTCGAGTTTCATTTATATTTTGTAAATTTTTACACTAAATTTAGCAATGTACTTTATTTCAGACTGTTTAATTTATACTTATTCTAGTTAAGATAAAAGACGATAGTATTCTTCAGAATTCAATATGAAACAAATACAAAATTCTTTGTTAACATCACTCCACTTGTGAATTCAGAAAGAATTAAGGAATACTTTAATTCTTTCACATTCAGGAGAAAATAATTACATTGTGCATTGTCATTATTTTGTCTTTATGACAAAAATCAGGATACATGAGATCTGACAGCATTTTTATGTGTTTTTGAGTTTTAACTATTACCTTACAAAAACATAACAGAAGCAATAATAAACACATTATTAGCCCTATCTCTTGTTCCATTAAAATAATTACAGACTAAATTCAATGAATCATAGATGAAAAAATTTAATACTGAAGATACAATGGCAACTACAAAAATTACTAAATTACTGAATACACTTTAGAGAAACCAATTTCTTATTACAGTTAACTGCAAACCAGAAAAAGGATATAAAATATGGAAATATGAATATATATAAAATATTTGAAAAAATTCAAAAATAAATTACTTATTATAATTTATGCTTTGTTTGCTAATATATAATTACCTGCTTGTATCTAAGTAGTATCTGCATACTATCAAATGACATCAAACAAAAGCTATTAATGGTATTAAAAAAATTGAGGACATATTTGAAATCAGGTATATGAATGCATGGAAAATATGCTTTACTTATTTTGTGATAAAACATCTGATGACTAGTATTATTAGATCATACATTCCAGAATGATGTTTAAGCCTAGTTTAAAAATCAGCGACACCTTTGTTTTTATAAGAATAAGCTGTAATGCAAAAAGCAGAGAATGTTATTATACTACATCTAGATTAAAAACATTATTAAAGTTTTTAAATCCCACATATATACAAAATTAGTATTCACAAATTATAAATGTTGCGTCAAAAACACACAATGCAATAACTTAATTTAGTATCTCTTCAATATGGAATATCTTTGCAATTTCTTTAATTATAATTTCAAACCTTCAGCTGTACAATGTACATTTCAGCATGGAAAAACAGTATTCAAGAAAATAATCCATAATTTATTCATGGTTCACAATAATTAGTAAAATCGATAATACATCATTTATAATACTAACATATTTATATATTGTCTTTTTAAAGAAATAAAACTCAATCAAGGCAAATAATACAAGGATTAGAAATTACTTCTAATATGCTAGCTCTTAAAACATATAATAAAATTAAACCTCCATTAAAAAAATTTGAAGATATTCACTTTTTCTGCTTACCATTTTAAAAGTAATAACACTATTAACCCTAGATTACAAACTCTTAAGAAATGATAATGTACTTATTAAACAATTATCTAACAGATTGAACCAATTATTTTTTCAAACTATTTAAGACTTGCTTTACATCACTATAAATTTAACTTTTTATTAAAAAGTTGGTTTCCATAAATTTTGATTTCAGGTTTTATTTTCATGCTCTAAAAAAACGAAGCTTTGTTTACAAACTGTTTTTGAACAGCATTTACAAAAGTATATAGTTCTGCTTTTTAGTTCTGATGAGCAAAATTCATTAACTTTTCTTTTCTTGAATGCAAAATCTTCAGTTCAAAAGTACTTCAACTGAATGCTTCATACGATGAGATAAAATAGGTATTTCAATCCTCTTTAAAATCCAATTTAATTCAAAGTTGCCGCTCTCCAAAATATTTGCATCTACTTACTGGCATTTCAATATATACATTTCTTATGAAACAATTATACATTCATATATTATGTAACTATTTATTAAGATCATATTTGTTATGCGAAAAAGATGTACAAAGTGTCACACGACAATATGCTCATTTTTAATAAGCATTACACAGTTAATGTAATACCACACTGTATTATTATTATTGTAAACTGTGTGTGAAATAATTCAATTTAATTTACATTTATTCCAGTTATCATGAAGTCACAGGGAAACATTGCATGTTCATATATGTTCAGAAATGGTGACTCATGGTTGCAGATGAAAGGTTATTCTGCTGGAACTTCACTGTTAGGTGGCATGGAGTAGTTCAGCATGCTCCAATAGTAATTCTAAAAATACTATCAGGTACTGAGTGTACAGTGAAAACAAAGGAATAAATGCATTGTGGAAGATGAACACACCTTGATTTTTTTTATGTAACACAAATGTCATTCCCTTGTCTTACATTCTACCACAGATATTCAAACTTAAATCATAAAGTTTGGTGCTAAATTAACTGTATAGTACTCATTTCAAAATGAGTACACTCCCCCTGTCATCCTCTATCATGACATCGACATTCTTCTTACGGCAGCTCAACACAGTACACAATTTCTCAAGCATGCCAATTTCACTTTTAGTTGACTTATATAGTTCAATAATATTTGGTTCACTTATTTCAAGATTTACGTGCTTCTTTTCATGAGCTGCAGGTAGCTAGCAGAACAACAATTTTGTTAGATTTGCATTTGTATGTTTTTCATTGTTAAAAGACAACAATGAAGTACCAATAATACATCATATTCATATATATATATTATATATATTCATATATATATATATATTACTAATAATTTGGAGGTATGGTATTAAGTAATATTAAAAAAAAAACCAATTATCTGTGATATATTCTCTTATTTTAATTGTGAATGCTGAATACTAACTCTGATGAAATAATCTGCTTACAAAAGCTTTGGTATCAGAACTTTTCCCAAGATAAACACACTGACTGCATTTATCATTTATGTATTTTGAATCGCATATTGCTAGTAGTTTTATGCAATATTATGATGGCCTGTTTGGCAGGTAGAAAGGTGAAAAAAAAATGCTAGTAACTGTTCATCAATTGTAAGAAATTAACTAGCTTTATATATTTCTTTATGACTTTCAGTAAATAATTCCAAATTTATAGGGTGGCCGTAGAAAAATAAATTCTTGGTTCTTAAATTTCTTAGGTGGTTCCCCTCTTTCATTGCAAAAAATCTTATGATGTTAAATAAAATTTTAATTTAGCAAAACCTTTTCCAAATCATTGAACTTTTATATGTTACCATGAATCAAATAGTTCTCAGGAAGACAAATGACTGTCTTTCATTGCAGCTATTAACATTAAAAAATCTCAATTGTTTTCGATAATGTATTCTTTATGTAGAATTTGCTTTTTAGATAATGTATTCTTTTAGAATTAATTTCATCATTTAGCCATTTGATGGTTTTTCCTATTGCCTTTTGAGGGAAAAAATAAGTGAAAATAAATTGATGGGTTGAATTTTTTTTTTTTTTTTTTTTGCTTTGCTTTGTTTTGAGGACTTTGAATGATATAAACAATATTACAAAGAGTTCAAATTAATTCCTTTCTTTTATTTCAAATTGAATGCAGATATGTTGATTTTTTTCAATGAAAACATATTTTAAAAAAATATTATACCTTGTTTATAAGGTTGGTCATGTTTTGAGCTAGATAAATTATCAAGATTATCATTATCAGTATCAAGCACAGATAACAAAAAATTTGAACTTTTAAATGCTCATCACTGAAGAAACTTCACTATACATGTTTTGATAAATATTTTGTTTTTTTCTATCAGGTCACTGTTTTTTGTTATTATTATTTTGAGCAAAATATGAAACTTACATATTTTCCACCAAGGAAAAGACATGTTTCTTTCAAGGTGGTTGAATGGAATTTAATAGAAAAACCTCCTGAAACATAGAAAAACCTCCTGCTAAAACTCAATATTCTTCGCAGCTATTTTCATATTCACTTACATTTTCATTTTAACAGTTTCATTATCATTGCTCTCATAAAGTTTTACAATTTCTTCTGGGTGATCACTGACTTTATCTAAAGTTATGGAAATATTAAAATATTACCACACATTTTCATTATGTAATAACCAAATTCTTTAGAAAATCAATTTAACAAACGAATACGAAGCACAACAAAAAATATACTGAAATGCTGGTTCAATGCATGGTAAAATAATGCAACAAACATGCTTACTAAACTTTCGACTCTCAGACAACATGTGTCAATTAAACTTTAAATTTCATATTGATGGAGCCCAGTAAAAACAGATAAAAGATCAATTCATTTTGGCATGCATCTCTTAATTATTTTTAAGATGAAAGAGGTTAAGCATGTTATTTCATAAAACAGCATAATCTTTAAGGTGGATATTTATTAATCTAGGGTTAATTACTCACATGTAGTCTGATACTAAACCAATATATAATGCTTAAAAAATTAAATGATTTAAAGCTGTTCACCTACTTGGGTGGTTAAGGCTATGAGGGAGCAGCATCAGCAAGTTGAAAATTTAAAGTATAAAGCATTCTGAATGCTCCATTTTTTCTTGGTCAGTATGCACACTGTTCATCTCATAAGCTCTATTAAAATAACATATGTATACTTATAAACAATTGAGGGGGGAAGAAGAAAAAATGAATATAAATCCATTTACAACATTCTTAAAATAAAAGTTTACTAAACAAATAATTATCAAATATCTGCTTTATACTAACGACTATAAGCAAAAATATAAATCTATTCTGGATTTGGAATGCATATTTTTATTTATTGTGTATTATTCTATGTTACACTTGTAAAAGGGGGGAAAAAGAGGGGTACACAAAATCTAAATTTCTTGGTTTCTTTCTTGAATATATCATAAGTTTTGAAATTTAATTTACAAAGTAATTTTCACTTTTTCATTTCAAGAAAAAATGTTTAGAAAGAAATTATTTTTGATGATAGACTCAGAGCTAAGCTATTTTATATTCAGATATTGACAATAACATTTTAAATCATTAATGTATAAACAAATGAAAAATATAATAAATAAATAAGTGAAAATACAATAATTTTTCTTTTTTAAAAATAAAAGCAAATATCTTTTCACATACGGCATATTGAAGTTCAAAATCTGCTTATACAATATATTAGTCAAAATAATATTTTGATAAGACTAAAACTAAAATATTTTGCCAATACTTAAACAACCAGCACAGCATGTATGATTATTATTTGCATATAAGAATCATTTCAAAATGGTTTTATCTATAAATTTCAAAGTCACTTTGCTTTCTATCAGTTTGAAAAAGCTCTGTTAGTATAATAAATTTCTAAATAAAACTGAAAATTACAGAGATGATTCTAAGTTAGAAAAAAAAAAATTAAGAGTTAAAACAAAAATTAGAAAAAAAAAAAAAAAAACTATTAATGAAGAAATTATTAATTATCTGTTATTATCAGAATTAAATTATCTGTAACATATCATGATATTAGGGCAGGAACTGAAATTACAGAAATCTATTCCAATGAACTTGCAACATATTAAATTTTAGTGCTTTCTAATTACCTGCATCTCCATCAAAAAATAGTATTGATGAGACACTACACCTTGTCAAAAAAAAATACTTGTGGCAACTCACGATGCCACCAAAAAGTACGTATATGATAACACACATAAATATATAGTAGCCCCCAAATTGCTTCCTCCGGGCATTTAGTCAATGCGATTGCAGATTATGAATCCTCCTATAGAGATTTTAGTACAGTATTCAATTGCATACTGCACTTTCCATTGCTTTATCAGAATCTTGGACTGGACTTTCTGTACATGTAAAGTGTGTGGCTTGTTTAAAGCCATCACGAGCCTCTTCTCCTCTTCTCATTTTAGGATTTTGGTGGCAAAGTTATGTGCAATTCCGTATTTCTGCAATTCGATGATTTTTTTTTTTTTTTTTTTTTATTTTTCTTTCCTTTCTTTCTTTCTTTTTTTTTATTTTTATTTATTTATTTATTTTTTTTTTTATGAAAATGGATCACTGAGTACACAGAGAAGGTAAAAGTATATTAAATCAAGATGTGTGCATGTAGTGTATGGAAATGAAGAAGAAAGAAAATTGGTGCCACTGGATGTAACTATGAAACAGATGTAAAGATACTAAGGTACTTATGTATTAATGCAACCACCCTGGCGCAGTTTCGTGTTTGTTTACAGAAGAAAAAGGTGATTTGATAAATTTTCAGATTGCAACTTACAATTAATATGGTTAGCTAAAAACTGTTATGTGCATGACTGGCACAGTTTGAAGGCTTCTGAAAATTTGGCGATTTCTACTATGATGAATATGTAAGTACTAATACCGGAATAAACATTTCTTTCTAAAGACAATAACGAGTTTAAGATTGATCTCCAAATTTGTCCACGAGTTTAAGACTGATCTCCAAATTAGTCCACGAGTTTATAACCTCTCTGTGGGAATGAAAATAATCAGAAAGTACTTAAATTTCTTATGATAACTGTTATTAAAAAAAAGTGATGTACAAATTATTGCTTTAGCTTGCTAATTTAAGCTCTTGATTTGTAAATATATTATAATTCCAATAAACCCACTGAAATTATTTTGAAGTTTAATAACCAAATGACAAATGCTAAAAATTAACTGTGAAAAAAAGTTCAAAATTTTAATTTATGAAAGTAGATTTAAATATTAAAACTCTCACAAATAGAGTTTTTGTTGTTGATAAGGTAAGAGATTTATTTTTCACTTCTATGAAAAAAGGAACAAAATTATGATAATCATATATTCTGTAAAAGATACATAATCTAAATTTAAAGAATCTTGATTTCCTAAACTTTCTCAAAAGACAACACTAAACACTTTATTTATTTCTGAAACTTCAAAAATAAATACAGGAAAGAAAAAGAGTAAAATAAATTTCCCATTGATGAAAAATAAATATTTAAAATAATTTTTTGAAAGAAAAAATAGAAAAGTAACAAATTACATAATGATACAAAAAGAATATGCATTCCACATTTAAATTGTTTTTTAGATACCTGAATTTATACAAATCAGCAAAATGTAATAAATCAAAAAACATTATTGATTTTTAAAATGACATTTAATTCAGTCGATTTTTATCATTTAATATCTAAGATTTTATAAGTTTTAAACTTCATGACAACCTAATGTAAGAAAATTGAAAAATCTCTTAAAAAAATTTCATGATTCAAATCCTTGAGAAATACAACAATTTAAAATTTTTATTCTGAGAGTATTAAACAGAATTCTTATTATTATGATATCAATGACTCACATAATATTATAGCTCTGAAAATTACAAATTTACGAAAGGAAAATTTAAAATATTTTTTCAAAATAATATGATACATCTTTCTTATAAAGAGATTAAAATTATTCTGAAAGTCGAATGAGAAACTTAACGTATTTAAACAAAATTTTATCTACAACTAAAAAGCAAATATAAATTATTTTTCTTGGAGAAAATAAGTAGGGGGGGAAAAGTTAATAAGAAAAACAACTACAGAACTTACTTTACTCTGCAATCTACTTCTAGACTGAACTGTTTACCTAAGTCATTTCATTGATGTTTTATTCAGGTCTTTTCCCATTCATGTAATAGTAGAAAAGCCTACAAGAAAAATATATAATGAAAAAAGAGCTTAATATTATTTCCCACACTTAAGATGTCCTTAAAACTTTCAGTTTCTTATAAAATCGATCTATTTGTAAACATACTTAACAATTAGTTTAATAGCATACAGAACTGATACAGAGATTAAGAACCGTACAAAAAATTAGTATTATTTTACATTATTTATTTAATTATTAAAAAAGATGCGCAAAAATATCACTAAAATGCATCAACATAAGTATTCTGATTGTAAATGCGGCACAGTACCAATTACTTTTTAATTAAATTAAAGGCCACTATGTAACATATCTTATTTAAGGAATTATTTTCATTAAATAGAAACTTGCTATGTATTACAGCGAAACTAAAATTAGAGATAACATGACAAACCAGCTGGTTTGGCATACTATCATCTTATGCAGCTGCCATTGTTTATACTTTTATGTAAATACTAGAACTAATCAAACCACTCTTCGAATGTATTTTCTTAGGTTTCGGAATAATACAATTAGAATACGCCAAAATACTACATTTTCCCTAACTTATTCTTACATTCTTATGAAATAACCCTACAATTTCCTCCCCAAAATATATAATATACCTTGAAAAACACGATAACCAACGATTCAGCTGTCACAGGAGATGTCTCTTTAGCACAGTAGAATATAAGCCTGAGATTCTTCACTCCTGTGCAATTCAGGGTTGCTATATTGACGTCGGTTATGTTGTCATAAAAAAAATCATCTTAATCGCCAAAGTCGTGATATGAAAAATCGCTATCAATTTCTTGCAAACGGTATATAGTAAAATTATAAAATATCAGAAGAATTGTTTACAAAAATATTGATGCTGTTTAATTTTTTTATTCTTTGATTTTATCCTTTGATTAGATAGCTAGAATATGGAAATAAAATGTATAGGTCCGTCCACTTATTGCCCAAATCATGACAAAAATAATATTATTAATGAAAGAAAATGAATAAAATACAAGCAAATTTAAATTATCACGAATTTTAGATATTATAAAAAGCAAACATCATGAGAGGCGAATGTTTTGCAGATGAACTTCCTGATTCAATTCGGTGAAAGCATAGTAACATTCCTGAAGATATTCCAGAACTTAAAAACAGCAAGGTTTTTACAGCCGCAATTGAAACATTTCTAAACCTTCAAAATTCAAACTGGCTATACAACTTATATGGTTAAAATGATACCTGAATTTAACAAACATTCTCTATTCGTATAAAGCAAAAGGTTTATCTAAATATATATGTTATTTTAAAAATTTTTATTTGGTATTTTTTAATTTGAATTTTTTTATATATAATGTAATGTAATATTTTTTTTAATCACCTGAACACATTCTGAAGTATTTTTCTTAAGATCCTTTTCCATAAAATAAGTCTTGATTTTTTAGTTAGCTACATTGTTTTAAAATACATTTTATTTTCATTTCAGTATGATATCTTTATGTGGTGCACGAATTGGAAAGCTATATAAATAGAAACTTAATTTTGAATAAGAATAAATTTTCTTTGAGATGTTAGAAAACGTTGTAAATCACATGACATTTGTCGCCAAAATGAGCGAGATGGTCCTAATTGTAGCATTTTATATACCGTACGCAGCAATACTTTCGTACGGGTTGTTCTCCTCTCTCCTGACCTTGAGTTTGGCTCTTGATCTTCTGTTTTTATCGTTAGACTACTGGCGTATATTTTTATAATTATCGATAATAATTATACAAACACAACAGTAACGGAACGCATAGAAAATTATAAGCGATTCTGTAATATGAATTTAAGAAAATGTGTTTATAATATCATGACGTCATTTATCGGAGTTTAATTTCCTGTCATTTGTGTTGTCATAGCCTTTGACAGTTGGTAATATTAAACATGTCTGTAAATTTGTCAAAGCATCGAAATGCTTTGCTTGAAGCTTGGAAAGAAGTTGTTGACGATAAATCTCCCACAGATTGGTATAGTTTTCAATACATTATAGTATATTGCATATTTTTCGTTAGGAATAATAGGCTTAGCTAATCTTCGTTTATCGAAGCCGGTGTTTTCATATCTTAAATTAAATTCTGATTGATGTCTATAAAGTATAATTTAAAAACTGAAATTCAAAACAAAAAGTTGTATTTTTATAAGAATCGATGTTTTGTGATTAAATGGCCTTAAACGTTGTATATTTCAGGGCTCTGTTTGGTTATGAAAAGCAGTCTAATGACTTATATGTCGTTGATAAAGGAGGTGAGATTAAATAGGAATGAATTAGTACTCTTATGTAATTTGTTTGAATATTTATTTGAAATGTTTATAATTTATATAACTGCAAAATCTAAGTAAAAGTCTGTACATAATGTTTACACTGTAATATTTTTACTTTTTTTTTTAATACCATGATATATATACTAATTTGGAGTTCTGAAAATTATCTAGATGGAGGGCTGGAAGAGTTAGTTGATGAGTTAAATAGTGGAAAAATAATGTATGCTTTCTGTAGAGTTATAAGTCCCACTACTGGCCTACCAAAGTTTGTCCTCATAAACTGGGTAAGCATTCATGATAATTTTATCATTTAACGTTGTCCTGATATAATTGATTAGCAGTAAATGTTAATATTTTTCAGGTTTTGTATAGAAGTCATTTTAAAAATATTTCACTAAATATTTTTTTTAAAAATTTAACATCTACAAATCTTCATCTCCTCCCACACACATTTCTTAAGAAACGGTTGATACTTTGGTGTATATTTCACACTGTACCATATTAAGGGGCAAACTGTACATGTTACTGCCTACATTACTAGGCTTAATGGGATGCTGAAAGTTATTATTTGAAAGAACATCAAAGGTACCGTCTGCTAAAATGGGAAAATATCTTTACCCACACTGATGCAAGATAGATATTTTCTGTTTCGTAGAATTTATTAATATTTTGGGGAAAGTGCAGAATCACCGACTGCTTGGCACGTTTTTAAGAAATGCACATGCTCGATATCCATGTGCACATCGACCTATTTTCACTTGAAAAAAATCCCAGAATTATGCAAAAATGGCATTGCCCACTACCTTGACTATATCCGTGTACACATCAACCTATTTTCACTTAAAAAGTCAAAGAAGATTGGCAAAAATCCAATTCTTCTTACTCTTGTAAAAAACGCCAAACAAATAAGTGGGCGATTCTGCACTTTACCCAAAATTTTTTGCTTCCAACTTACTATTATTATTTTTTAATAAATTATATCAACATTAGAAAAGTGTCTTTGGTGTCTTACCAAAAGATTTAGTCTTTTACTTTAATTTATGTAACTTCTTATTTTCATTGAGACCTGCTCATGATAAAGGACTCCTATGTGTAAAAAATAACCATATGCATCTCTCTTTGGGAGTTAGCATATGAAATTTCTGTATGGAACCCTTGTCAATAACAGAGATAACTACAGGATAAAATAATTAACATGAAAGTAGATTCAGAGTTAGTGGTTGAGAAAAGATATATTGTGTTACATTATGTGTATCATTCACATAATATGATAAATGTTGCAGTTGTGCAAAATACAGAAAGTTTTAACTTCTGCATAGCTGTACTAATAGATGGTTCTCGTAAGGTTGTCATCCAGCAGAGCATGAGATCTGTATCTTTCAAATTAAATCAAAAAATCCATAACAGAGTGATTTAAGAGCAATAAGTGTATTCCTCCGTAATTTAAATGGCACTTTACTTTTTAATTATGTATTTTACTGATGTAATTTAAAGCATTTTTTTTTTTTTTATAAAAATTTGTTCAATTGTTGTTAATAAAGATATCTCTTATGCCATATATTATGCATCTTTCAGAATTATTTGGTTTGTTATTTTAACTCAATAATATCTCTTATGTAATTTACAAGGCATCTAGTTAACGAGATTTATGATGTATCTAGTAAATTATTTTTTTAAATATTTGCACCTTTACAATATTTTTTCTTTTTACTAAATTAAGCTTCAGAATATATTATGATTTTCAAAATTCTAAGCTGTATTGTTTACTCATGTATATTTAAAGTAATGTCCAATACATTGCAATTAAACTTGGACCTGTCTGTAAGCAATTGTTTAAAGAAAGGCTTAGTTTGTTTTTAAACTACAGTTAAAAAACTTTAGGAATATTAATATCGGTTCTCACAGCTGCTGAATGTCAAATAAAATACTCTTCCTCATCCCTAGAACATTCTTCATCAATTCAGTTATCTGTTGATCTTTAATTATGTCCTTAAGTTCATTTGCTAACCATTTTGGGTAGAGTAGACTTTAAAGTACCCCTTGTATTATGCCGAAGTTGTTGTTTGATTTATCGCCAAGTTGTTGTTTCATTTATGGTAGCCTGAGTAGTTGAATGTTATAGAAACCCTATTGTGACGTAATCGGGTGCAGAATTCTGGGAAATTTTGAATCATGGGATGTTTTGTGGTGTGTGTTGGTTTGATTCTTTAGATGGTAAAATGGCCGGATGTAGTAAGATTAATTTGAAGTTTCTGTACGATTTGGAGCGAAAGGGGAAAAGAGCTTTAATTGACTGTGTAAATGAAGGTTTACTTAGGAGCCATTATAAGCGTCTTGTATGTAGGGAGGATATGCGTCTAGTCGAACGTAAAAACTATTTAGATGGATTTGAATGAGTTTGTAGGAAGAAAGGTTCAGATGGTCACTATGTGAAGCGTTCGATCAGAAAGAGTACCTGGTTTGAAAAAAGTCATTTGAGTATGATTGATTTTTATGTGGCTCTGGGTATACGAAACGAACTCAAAAATCATGGTAAGTGAATATTTGCCTTTGGTAGTGCTTAAATGTATAACATGTTTTTCTTTTTTTATGTTATCTTATTGTTTGGTTTAAAATTTATTTAATTGAGATTATGTATTTTTTGTTTGCCTATATTGTAGAATTCAGTGCTCCTTTGACTTTGTAAGTGAAAATATATCGATGTGTACATGGACAAAGTAAAGGGAGTGTGCAATGCAAGTTTGTGCAATTCTGTGATTTTTTTTTAAAGTGAAAATAGGTCGACGTGTACATGGATAAAGTCAAAGGAGTGCGCAATGCCATTCTTGTACAATTCGGGGATTTTTTTTTTTTAAGTGAAAATAAGTCGATGTGTACATGGATACCGAGTTTGTCCAGTTGTTTGTCTTGTTACTTTGGCTTTGTGTAGCGGCGATTCTTGGCACAAAAATCTCTGCTTCGCAAGCCAAAATAATGAGTCAAAGAATTGCACAAAATCGGTATCCATGTACTGCCAAAAATCGCCAAGGGGTACCCTAAACTATACTTTTACCACCATTTTCTATTTTAAAAGTACTTTTTAAAATCTTCAAACCTTCTTTTGGCCAAATAAAAAAATGTGGTAAAAGTTTACAATTGGGTTCCCCTTGTTTTTTGTGATTCTTGTTTGAAGCCAAGATCGGCGGCAGAATGGCACAATTTCAAGATGGCCGCTACACAAAACAAAAATAAAACATCATAGAATTGCACAAACTCTGTGTCCATGTGCACATCGATCTGTTTTCACTTAAAAAAAATCCCAGAATTGCACAAACTAGGCATTACGCACTGCCTTAAATTTGTCCATGTACACATCAATCTATTTTCATTTAAAAAAAATCAGGAAGCTGAAACTAAGTTAAAACTATCATGGTAACCAGAAATGAGATTTCAGGCCCAAAATTTTTAAAAATTTGTCACTAATCGAAGGGGCACCCAATTCTACACTAGAGCCAAAAGTTAGTGTTCTTCATAACAAGGTTCAAGGTTCCCATAGCAAGCAAGTTTTGGCTAATCTTCCTATGTGGGGTAAGTTGGCGCCAAACTATTTTTGGCGCAATGAGAGAACTAAGATGAGATATTTAAACATAAACAGAATTGTAACTTTTAAGTTTTGTAGTAGTGAAAACCGTTATCTTACGTAAACAGAACAGAAAAATGAGATGATAAAATACTAGATGAGGAAAATAAAGTCCTTAAGCTTTGCAAGTAAAAACATAGTCCTGTCTATGTAATTTATGATAAAATAGTATAATGAATAATAATAAATTATATAATAAATTCATTGGACTCCAATTGTCAGCCAAGTAAATATATTCAAATTCATTAACAACGGATGCATCATAAACTCGCTAAAATATACAAGTTACTATAGTCGTGGAATTCAACAAACTAAGCAACTTTCCCTCAAAACTTTAAACATTGCACGTCTTTTCCAAATGGAAGAAGTAAAACTGAAAAAAAAGTAATTAACTGACCCGGAAAACATTAAGTAAATAAAATTAAATGAAAACATTCGTAAATTATAAACTTCATTTCATCTGAAATCAACATTCTCCCACCAACAACAGCTTAACCTCCTGCAAATATTAAACAGTAAAACTTTTAAAAACAAACACAGTATTTCAAAATTAAATTTAAAAAAAAAACTTCTGGGAGAATCAATCATGGAAATAAATCTCTAGGTTTGCGACAGGAAAACATGCAGCTGGAAACTGCAACCAAATCAAAATCTCGCCAAGTTTGGCGCTCACCCCGATTATGGAAGATTAACCCAAGTTTCCTATCTTCCATCTACAAACTTCAAATTACTGTCAAATTGTTTTTTAGAGCAACATATTAGAAGCTATATTTCTAAAGATTGTACATTCCATAACATTTGCATTTTGGTTTTAATGCTAAAATTTATGTATACTACATATCCTTGAATCATTTCTCCAAAATTATCTTGTATTTCCTACAGTGTAAGCCCCAAAATAGTTAGGATGCAGTTTAACTTTTTGATTATTGCATTGTGCTTTTGACTCTTTTTGACTTACTTTTCTCTCTTTTGATGACTTTATCACTGCTCCTATTAAAATATGAATAATCTTCATTTGAGTCATTTCATGCATCAGCTAAAATTAAACCCTTTTGCTTAAAAATATTTTGAATGTGTATACTAGGAATTGCAATGGATGTGGCAGTAATAATTTCAGTAACTAATACTTCTATCTCAGTATATTTTGTAAGGTTATTCCCATTTCTTAATTCTCAATTCTAACTTCACTACATGGTATGTTTTGTTTATTGCTTTCAAGGACCAAAAACCATAAGCAGATAATCTTTCCTTTCAAATAATATTAATTGTAAAGACATTTGCCAAAGATTTTGTAATCCGAGATCTCTCACAGCCCTATCCATGAGCACTGTGCAAAGTTTATATTTTTCTTCTCAGCAAGCCACCCTGTACAAGTTTGAAATAGCACTCCCTTTGACCCGTAGTTAGATGAACTGCATCGAGACACTAGGTTTAAATTCCTCTTTGCCATTTCCTATATAACTGATTTATTGTTGTTTTCGTATAGTAAATAGTGATGAATTAAGCTGTTGCAGTTCTTACATGCATAAGTTAAGTCTTACAGAATCGCCCATGGAATTTTGAAGAACCGCTGAATCATTGATTATCTTTTTGGGAAAAATTTATTTCAGGGTACTCCTTGATGTAATGTGATATTTTTGACGCCATTCCTGTTTACACGTAATG